GGTTGAAGATGAGCTGCTGGTATCTTTTGATTTGGTTTCCCTATCACCTGACAAGTATGACATGATCTGCAGTATTCAACCACATCTTTCTTGATTTTGGGCCAAAATAAGTGCGACGTGATTTTGTGATATGTCTTCCTTACTCCCAAATGACCTGAAAGTGGTGAGTCATGGGCTAAGTTCAGGACTTCGTTCCGGAATGGGGTAGGAACTACTATTTGATGAACTATCCTCCATTCTTCATCAGCATTTGCGTCTGGAGGTCGCCATTTTCTCAAAAGTATGTCATCTTGAAGGTAGTAACATACAGGGAATTGTTCAGCTTCTTCTTGGGTCAAAGCGTTGTCTCGAAGTTTGACTATTTCTGGATCACTCTTCTGTTCTTCAATAAGTTGCATTCGAGTTGGAGTCTTGTAATTACTAGCCTCTTCATTTAGACTTGCAAAAAATGTTTTTCCCAGGTCAATTTCAGGAAGAATTTTATTGCGTTTTTGTGAAATCTCTTTTGTGGAGATCTTGGAACTCATGGCCCTTGTCACTGTATATGCTGGATACAATTCTTGATCTTCTTCCTGATTTTCATTTAAACAAGGTTCATGAGTAACGATGGGCTCGGCTATCACCTTCCCACCAGCTAAGTCATTGCCTAGCAGCAACGAGATGCCGTCCAATGGTAATGTTGGTCGGACACCCACAACCACAGGTCCGGAGACTAAGTCTGATTTTAGGTTGATGAGATGTAAAGGTACATCTATGCATCCCAGCTCTACACCTCGTAACAGGATGTTGCTCCCAGTAGCAGTAGATTCAGACAAGGGAAGTATACCCTCAAGTAGTAAGGACTGTGAAGCACCTGTATCTCGTAAGATTTTGATTGGTTGTAGACTGGAAAAATCACCTGGCAGTGATACGAATCCTTCCGATATGAAAGGCATGAAGTCTTGTATGACATCAGTATTTTCTGATGTAGAATTTTGGACCTTGGTAGGTAAACTCTTGTTGGAGTCTTGAGAACATTCGGCTAGGGTAGAGGAAGTAAAACTCTGGGTAGAGTCGTCAAAACTTGCACACAAGTCCTCAGTAAAACGCCCTCTGGAGGTAGACCTCTTCTTGGAGCAAAAGGATCTTGGCGACAAGCTCATAAAACTCGCAGTCGAAGCAGGAACTTGGCTGGAGTCAGTAAAACTAGCCTTATTGTTCATTTTGAAACTCTTTGATGAGTCGTGACAAACCTCTTTGAAGTTTGTATGGACATCTGGAGAGCAAAAACTCTTGACTTTTGAAAATGTGTTGCGAGATGCATGACGAGACATACAAGCGGAGACTTTGTGGGTTGCACCAGGATGTGGGGTCTTTTCAGTTTTCTTCTTGAGTTTCCAGCACTCAACACTCTTGTCAACATCGTATTTCTTTTTTCACACGTGTGTCTTTTGCACTTGTTTCTTTTGTACCAGGCGTATATGCTTTTTGTGGAGGTTTACTGTAAGTTGGTGCTGTTGTCTTAATGTGTCTGTCATTTTTGGTGTCAGGTGGGTTCTTTCAGAGTTGATGTGAGATGGTGAAGTCATCAGCTAACACTGCTGCCGTATGTGCGTCACCTTCGCCACGATCTACAATATGTATTCGCACCTCTGTACGAATACAATTCTTGAACTCCTCCATCAGAATGAGGTTCTTGAACTTTTTGAAGTCTGTGTCGGTGTTTACTGCGTGCAGCCACTTGTCCAGGAGTCGTTCCTTTTCCCGGAGGAACTCAACTTAAGTCTGGCCATTACGTTTCTACAGCTCCCTAAACTTTATACGGTATGCTTCGGGGACACATTCATAAGCCTTAAGTATTAAGGATTGTACAAGGTTATAGTCCCCACGCTGTTCCGCGTCCAAGGACACAAAGACTTCAGCTGCCCTTCCGGTCAAAGCTGGTTGCTGTAATGTAGACAATATATTTTCAGGAATTTTAAAATTTTTGATAAGTTATCTCAAACTGTGCTAAATATTGGTCCACCTCTTTTTCTGAAAATTTCGAGATTACCTTTGCATCACAACCCTGACTGGCTGGAGCCGTGAGTCTATTTTCCATTGCTCAAAAATTGGCCGTTATCTCCATTTCTTGTAATTTTATTTGGAGCTCTAGCTCCATTTTCTTAAGTTCACGTTCTCTATCTCTCTGTAGCTCTAGCTCCATTTGTTTAAGCTCTCGTTCTTTTTCATCTCTCTCTCTCTTTGAGCATTTAGCTCCATTTTTTTAGCTCTCGTTCTTTATCTAGCTACTGCTGTTTGAGCTTCAGTTGGATCTCCATGCTAGGATCTTACGGTTGTGTGACTCAGGCCAGTTCGTCCACTGACAACACATTTTCATCCCTTAAGTGTACGATGATCAAATCTCGTAGGGTCTTTTTTTACTGCAGAATGAGCTACATTTATTCCTAAATCTTTAACAATTGAAAATAGCTCCTTTCTAGAACATTTTTCTAATGCCTCTACTGATGGGTTCTCAACATCAAAATCCATTTTGACACAGGCAAAATATAATACTAAGTTTTATACAATTTTAAGCTTAGTGAACACACTAATCTAATTGAATTTAAAGAAAAATTGTAACCAGCTCTGTTAATGGCTTCGTAAAATGGTATTGTGAACTCAATATATTGTCTGAGTATGTTAAAGTAAACAGTTGGTGAATATCCTCAGACAGACACTCAATGTATTATTGGTGTATTGAAAAGTTATGGATTCAAATATCCAAGGACAATACCACTATTTGTTAAATTGGGGATTTTTAATAAATAATAAATATGGATGCAATTATTTTCGGAAGAGCCCACAATTGTTAAAATTGGGGACTTGAGAAAAATAATAATATGAATTCAGTTATCGCGGACGAGCAGCCCAATTTGTTACGCACTGGCTTCTAATAAGATAAATTAATCTCCTACTTTAATTTTATTGGCTCGTTGTAAACAGTGCCTAACAAAGGACGATACCATAGAGTCACCAATAGTAAAGATACGATGCCCAAAACAGTTGCTAGTCACAATTAATAAGGTTTAATTAAATATCAATATAATTACAAAACAAAAGAAATATCATTACAAGTCATCAACTTACAGTATGGTAGATCGTGTACCGGTACACAGTTAACGCAGTTAGTACAATGTGTCAATGAAGAATGATAATGGAGAATGAAAATAAACACATATAAATACACAAAGAATAATACACGTCTTGTGAAGTTAACACTATCTATCTGAATCTCTCTCTCTCCCCGTATCTGTCAATCCTTTACATAATAATATTAATAATAATAAAGTTCATTTAAAAAAACACGCTTCATCCCCAAAGGCTCGAAGCGCGGTACAAAGTCAACAAAAAAACATATCTATAATTCACCACATTTAAAACAAACACAACACTACAAAAACTAATTACAAGCATACAATATCAAAGTCTTTCTAGCCATTTCAACCCGGAGCGACACAGCAACACATGGAAAATAAGGTAGACAATCATCCCAGAAGGTATTTGCGAAATAGATGTGTCTTTAGATCTGTTTTAAAGGACTCCAGTGTCTGGTTGTTTCTAAGATCGACAGGAAGGGCGTTCCAAATTGTTGGACCAGCAAATGCGAAAGTGCGCTTTCCGTAAGTCTTAGATCTGTTTTAAAGGACTCCAGTGTCTGGTTGTTTCTAAGATCGACAGGAAGGGCGTTCCAAATTGTTGGACCAGCAAATGCGAAAGTGCGCTTTCCGTAAGTCTCAAGGCAAACACGTGGTGTCGTAAGACGCTTCCAACAAAAGACGTATGACGTGTTGTTTACATTACTCGGGTTATCGAGAACATTCGACAAGATACTAGGAGACCCTCTACCCATGTTTCATTGGTAAAAAAGGCAGATCAACAGAACTATCCCCGCCTATCTATGTACCGAGCGTCTGTTTAGGATTCTAATTTAGGTCAAGTAAAGTTAACGCACGGGAAAAGTGTTGTAAACAAGCTCTGCATAACTATATTTTGTGTGGATTTGGTGAAGAATTTGTGTAGTTTTGGTACATTTACGGGGCATATTAGGTGCAGATTTGATTCAGATATGGTGTAGATTAAATTTTAATGTTGACTACTTTTTCATTTTTAGTAGATTTGATACAGATTAAGTGTAGATCTGATGTAGATTATGTTCATATTTGGTGTAGATTTGGCGCAGATTAATGTTTATATGGTAAATCTATAGTGCTTGGCTAGTGTATATTTGTTTACAGATATGGTGTAGATTTGGTGCAAATTTAATTTAGATCTGATATAAATTTGATGCATATTTTGTTTAGATCTAATGTAAATTAAGTGCATATTTCGTATAGATTTGGTGATTATTTGGTGTAGATTTGATAAATATATCGGGCATATTTTGTCTAGATTTGGTTCAAATATGGTGCATATTTGTTGGAGTTTTTGTGCACATATGGTGTAGATTTTTTGCAAATTTGGAAGATTTAATAATATTTGGTGTAGATCTGAATAACATTGGATTCCGTAGTTGTTTTTGTTTAGAGAAATATAACCTCGGGAAAAAAAACAATAGGTGTTTTTTATTTGAAGAAATATAGAGGCGTAAGAAGAGAAAACATCGAGAAGAAACAGCATTTTTTGTTGGGAGACATATTTAGATTCTTAAATTTGAACAAAGCGTGGTTGGTATCTTTGATGAAAGTTGGTAAGCCAGCTACAATGAGTTGGAAATCAAACAATTCAGAAATATGCTCTTTAGCCTTCGAGCCAAATGGGCATCAGATGTTCCTAAGGCAATATCGGGCCTCATTGAGTCCTATGGCAATATGGGTAATTGAGCTAAATTACAGCTCACAAAAATCGATACAATCCATCAGTGTACTTTCAGGTATTCAATACTTGTTTTACTACAAGTCATAAAGATAATCTTCCTTGACCCTAGATTTACTGACAGCTGGATGAACAATATAAATATTATATAACTATTATCAACTATTATATAAAAGAGAAGGTCGAGTAAAACAGCGTTACTTAGAGGAACTAGAGCCATCTACACACAAACTATATGGGAAGTATTCAATAAACTTCTAAAATTCTAAAGTATATTTTAAAACTAGAGAAAGTTTGAAGGTAAGGACTTCCTTGTGACTGTCTAATCGTCAAGAGAATAAGTGCATTATTTAAGTTGATTTTAGTTCAATGTTTTGATTAATATATTAATTTAATGATTTAGGGAGAGGTAAGTGTTTGTATTTAGGTGAGGTGTTTGTATTTAGTTTAAGTAATTTTTTTTGCATTTTGGTTACTTTTAGGGTTAGGTACGTGTTTGTATTTAGTTTAGTGTTTGGTAAGTGATCAGGAAAATAGCCAAATTGTGGTTGAAACACACACCATTCAACCTAGTCACATAGTAGTTGAATCACACGTCATTGAAACTTGCTACGTTGTAGTTATTGCACTCTGTAAATCTTTGTACTATTATTTCAACTAGACAATTTGTGATTAGATTATAACATAGTTACACCCTGTCATATTGCAGTTACATCCTGTCACATTGCAGTTACACCCTGTTTTACACACTGTCACATTGCAGTTACACCCTTTCACATTGCAGTTGCACCCTGTCGCATTGCAGTTACACCCTGTCGCTTTGCAGTTACACCCTATCGCATTGCAGTTACACCTTGTCACATTGCAGTTACACCTTGTCACATTGCAGTTACACCCTGTCACATTGCAGTTACACCATGTCACATTGCAGTTAAACCCTGTCGCATTGCAGTTACACCCTTTCACATTGCAGTTACACACTTTCACAGTGCATGTGGATAAGACAAATCAGCGATGTCGGGATACTCAAAGGATTACCTTTCTCCTGTTTGGTTGATGCTTCTTTTTGGTATAATCGTTTACTCAGGTAAAGTACAGTGTAATCATGTAATCGGGTAAAGTACGGTGTAATCGTTTACTCAGTTAAAGTACAGTGTAATTTTTTACTCAGGTAAAGTGTGGTGTAATGTATTACTCAGGTAAATTATGATGTTATCGTTTACTCAGGTAAAGTATTTCGCTATAGTTAATTTAAATATAACATAGAGCAAAGCCTTACTGTCACTAGCGAAATCTCCCCCATTCCTTCATTGACCTCACCTACTACCTCTATACCACGTATAGGCCTAACTATTGCTAACCCTATTTAACGTTCTATGCTTATTCCCATTTTTAATCTTAAAAACTTAATTCATGTTGTTATGTAGGTCACTTTGCCCCGTGCTCTTGCCACACCGAACGTATCTCTGAATTCCTTGATGGAGTTTTTCAACCCATCGTTGCCTCACTGCCAACTTACATTAAGGACACCAACCATGCTCTTCAAACCTTTGAATCCATCATAATCCCTCCTGAAAAGACACATAATCTATTTCTTCTTGATGTATGTTCTCTATACACTTCCATCCCCCACACTGACGGTCTCTTAGCTCTCAAATTCTTTCTTGAGACCAGACCCCACCCATCTATACCCACCAACATCCTCCTCAGATTGGCTGAACTAGTCCTCACCCTCAATTCGTTTGAGTTTGGTGGCCAATGTTTCGACCAAATCAGTGGTGTTGCTATGGGGACTAAAAGGGGACCCAGCTATGCTTGCTTGTTCATGGGGCATTTCGAACACTTGGTCGAAAGCAGCTATACTGGACGCCTCCCTCAATTCAATAAGAGGTACATAGATGATGGTATAGGGGTCACCACTATGGAGAGGAGTGAACTTGACCTGTTCATTAACTTTGTAGGCTCATTTCACCCCTCCATTAAATTCACATCTCTTATCTCTGAGACCTCAGTCAATTTCTTAGACATTACAGTCACTCTTCACAAAGACACCCTACACACCTCTGCCTACTTTAAGCCCACTGACAGCCACAGCTATCTACTCTACTCTTCATCCCACCCTAAATCCTGTAAGGACTCTATTCCTTTCTCTCAATTACTCCGTCTTCGTCGACTTTGTCGGTCGGATGAGGACTTTTGGGACAAGGCACTTGAAATGATAGACTTTTTCCGGTGTAGGTCTTACCCGGAGACAGTACTTTCATCAGCCCTCCAAAGGGTTAAGAATATTACACGTGCTGATGCCTTCAGACCACGTCTGAGCGACAAGGTTGACAGGACAAAACTCATTTTAACTTATCACCCTCACAGTCTGATTGCTAAACGTGTTTTCCTTAAACATCGATCTATACTACTCACAGACACCGACACACGAGACATTTTCTCTTCCCCACCTCTCATTGTTTTCAGACGGGATAAAAATCTGAGAGAACTCCTTGTACGCAGTCGTATCAATGCTCCCCCCTACCACTTTGGGACCAAGCCGTGTGGACGCAGTCGTTGCAACACGTGCCCTTTTGTCGTCCAGACTGAACGCATACGTTTCCCCAAGGGCAGTTTTCAGATACGCGACGGTTTCCTCTGTACTAGCCGCAACGTTATCTCCTTGACATTAAAAGAGTTCACTCTCGCTTACTAAACTCACTTGTCACAGATAATAATAATAATAATAAAGTTCATTTAAAAAACACGCTTCATCCCCAAAGGCTCGAAGCGCGGTACAAAGTCAACAAAAAACATATCTATAATTCACCACATTTAAAACAAACACAACACTACAAAAACTAATTACAAGCATACAATATCAAAGTCTTTCTAGCCATTTCAACCCGGAGCAACACAGCAACACATGGAAAATAAGGTAGACAATCATCCCAGAAGGTATTTGCGAAATAGATGTGTCTTTAGATCTGTTTTAAAGGACTCCAGTGTCTGGTTGTTTCTAAGATCGACAGGAAGGGCGTTCCAAATTGTTGGACCAGCAAATGCGAAAGTGCGCTTTCCGTAAGTCTCAAGGCAAACACGTGGTGTCGAGAGTTTGCCACTATCGGATGAGCGGAGCTCTCTACTGGGTACATAAGGCGTCAGCAGCTCTTTCAGATAGGACGGCGCCAGGTCATGTAAGCAGCGGTAGCACAAAGTTGCGATTTTGTACTCTATGCGAGCACGCACCGGCAGCCAATGCAACTCTCTCAGAAGTGTTTTTGCATGGTCGAATTTGCGTTTGCGGAGAACTATGCGAGCCGCATTATTCTGTGCTATTTGAATTTTATCCAGGAGCGTAGCTGGAAGACCCACCATGAGAGCATTGCAATAGTCCATGCGTGATAGCACAAATGCAGACATCAGCCTCTTTGTTGTATCAATTGTTAGGAAGGGCCTGATTTGACTAATCCTGCGCAGCTCCAGAAAAATCGCCTTGCATAGCATGTTAATATGACTTTCAAAAGTTAGTCTTCTATCTAGGTAGACACCCAGGTACCGCACTGTTTGAGCTAACTCAATACGCACACCTGAGAGAGTAATGGATGTCGTGTTATGTGCAGATTTCTGCTTCTGAGCGGTCGCAATGGGGAGCAGCTCAGTCTTATCATCATTTAATTTGAGCTTGTTAATGGTCATCCAGTGCTTTACCGACTCCATTGTCTTCTGTGTAATACTGAGCAGCTGAGGGAACTGAGAAGTGATCACGGATTGATGAAGTTGTGTATCGTCCGCGAACATGTGATACAACATGTCAAACTGCACCCAGGGGCTGAATGTACATTGTGAAAAGCATCGGGCCTAGGACCGAGCCCTGGGGTACTCCGAATTCGAGATTAGATTTCTTCGAGGTCAAGCCGTTTGAAATAACCGATTGGACCCGATTAGTCAGATACGATCGGAACCAACACAGGACGGTATCAGTGAGACCGAACGTTTGTTGCAGACGCTGCAGCAGTATGCCGTGGTCGAGCGTATCGAAAGCTGCCGATAAATCGATTAAAGACAAAATCGATACCCGGCCCTCATCACAAGACGACAGAAGGTCGTTTACGACGCGCAACAGAGCTGTCTCAGTAGAGTGATGCACCCTGTATGCTGATTGGAATGGTTCAAACAAGTCAAACTGAGTGAGGTGATCCAGGAGTTGGCGGAGAACGACTTTTTCTAAGATTTTAGAAATAAATGGTAGATTTGAGATGGGGCGGTAATTTTCCATCATATTTTCCATCATACAGATCACAATACACACCGTACATCTGATGTCATGACCTTGAGAGTAATAATAACAATTGTTTCCTCTGTCACTCTTACTGCAACAGTCAGGTAATAATAAAATTTACTTCCTCTGTCACTCTAGCTGCAATCATTAAGGTAGGAACACTCGCTTTCACTGTCAATCTTAATGCAACCGTCGGGGAATAGCGCTCGCTTCCTCTGTCACTCTTACTGCAACAGTCAGTTAACAGACAACACGTCGATGGTTATAGACTTTCTGATTGATTTGTATAGTTTTAATTAGGTTTTTTTTGATAGCTCTGAGTGGTTTTACAGTCCGATTGTTTTTGATAGCTCTGAGTGGTTATTTTGTTTCAAACATGTCTACATAATAATGATGATCTCGTGTCTATACCCCAAACCTGCACACTTTCCCCATTGTCCCATCCTACACACGTTGTCACCATTATCCTATCTCACCTTTACACACTCTCACCATTATATTGTTCCTATTTCTACACATTATCATACTTATCCTGCCCCACCTTGTATACATTGCAACCATTATCCTGCTCTAGCTTATTCATACTCTGTTATCCTATCCCACCCGTTACACACTCTCATCATTGTATTGCCCCACCTTCAACATACTATAACTATAATCTTGTCTCACCTTCTACACACTATCACCATTATCCTGCCCCACCTCCTACACACATTGTCACCATTATATTGCCCCACCTTTTACACACTACCATCAATATCTTGCCCCACATTATAATCACATTGTCACCATTTTCCTGCACTGCCGTATACAAACTTTCACTGTTATCCTGCCTCACCTTTTACACACTATCACCATATCCTGCCCCACCTTATGTACACATTGTCACCATTAGCATGCCTCACCTTGTACACACTATCACCATATCCTGCCCCACCTTATGTACACATTGTCACCATTAGCATGCCTCACCTTGTACACACTATCACCATATCCTTCCCCACCTTATATACACATTGTCACCATTAGCCTGCCTCACCTTGTACACAATATCACCATATCCTTCCCAACCTTATATACATTTTCACCATTACCCTGCACTACCTTATACATACTCTCACTGTTATCCTATCCCACCTTTTACCCACTCTCATCATTATATTGCCTCACCTTCTACATACTATAACTAAAAACTGGTCTCACCTTCTACACAATATCACAATTATCCTGCCCCACCTCCTACACACATTATCACCATTATCTTGCCGAGCCTTCAACACACATCGTCACCATTACATTGACCCACCTTTTACACACTATCACCATTATCTTTCCCCACCTTCTACACATTATCAATATTATTTTGTCCCACTTTCAACACACTCTCTCCAATTACTCCTTTTCTTTCCAGGCCCTTTTAAATTTCTCTTGAAGGCGTCACACTCTTTGGTCACAAAGCCTGTCTCGACCCACTTATCCAATGTTACTGGTATACAAAGAGTTAACATTAACCCATGTTTAGGATATACGGAAATTTTAAACTTATCCATGTATAGGACAAACGGACAAAATTAACCAAGTGTATAGTGACTTCTAAAAGCTTGACCCAAACTATGTTCTAACAGCAAAGCGTCTTTTACCAATATTATTGACCACAGTTCAGAAAACTACGGCCTCTGGCGACTAACAATGACTTGCTGATGATCAAACCAAAACTATTAACAAAATATAAAAATGCGTCTTATAAGACAGTCTTATAGATAGCTGGCACGCTCCAAGAACTGTCAGATCTGGCTTTTTATAAATGGGTTGTGGACCCCTGTCATAGACCAATGTAAAAATTGACACTTAGTCACGTGACTCTGGTCAGATTGAAATCTGATTATGTACCTTAGGATGAAGACGAGTCACGAAGAAAGGGTTGATGTGACACGCCATATCCAAAAGGGAATCGTTATGGTAAGTCAAACTGAACTTAGTTAAGCTTGTATCACGTACCACTTATCATCTAACAGTGGGTGGGTCCCGGACCTTTCCATCTCTGAGCCGCGACCTTCAAAAACGGCCGGAAGTGGCATCATATCCACCAGTGCAAGATTTGCTCTTGTCCATCATAAAGAGATGGGACTTTCAGACCGATGGATGCCATTGCAATGTGAGTTTTTATAACTCTATTTTCCTTTAATTATATTGTAGTACTACTAATGGATTTTTCCCACCCCTCCCCAACCGATAATTATATATTTTTGTTAGGCAACAAGTTACGGTAAACATTGGTAAGTTTGTATGATAATGAAATATGACGTTTAAACTTTTATTTTTAAATTTCATACACAGTGTTGACATTACGTTTTCCTGCTCTATAATTTAATTATGTCAATTCTTTTTTCTAATTGACTCTAATACAGGGATACAGTTTCGAGTGTAACAGGGATTTGTTTTGTCAACGGAGAAACAAATCACGGCATTGGTCATGTCAGAAAACTTGCTGTGGTTTGAAGTGTGTGGCCAAAAACTAAAATCCATTAGTAAACATTTAAGTATTTGGAATAAACGGAATGTTCCCACTTGAATGTTGGCTTTTGTTTCATTATGTAACGCAAATATTTATATATGCTGTTTGCAGAATTTCTGGCGTGCTTACAATATTAGTTAAGACATGCAACGTACTGAATATGCTTGTTGTAAATGTTGAAATCTTTTCTTCTTTTAAGGATTGAAAACAAATGTGTTATCTTTTAGTAGTTTATAGTTGTTAATACATTTCGACAGTGCCACTTTTCTTACAGTCAACGTAAAACCGCCTGAAAGATAAACCTAGTCGGTGTGTCAAGGGTAGGAAAATCATTGTTGTTAAAGTGAACGATGAAAGAAGATGATGGTGATGATGGTGATGATGATTGAGTAATTTTGTAGTGCTAGTGCCCGTGCTATTTTTCCTTGCTCGAAGCGATCTGATGTCCTAAAATCTATGTCAAGAAAAAGTCATTAAATGGTTCTTACATGACTTTAAATCATTTTCAATTTCCCTCAAAAATTGAGGCGAACTGTTCCACAATTTAAGACGCAATAGCTTCAAACAAGCGTACTCCGTATGACTTATTTATGTGTCCATCCACACTGGTAACTCTCAGTAATATATTGAAGAGAGCAGATTCTGTATTTGATACACGTTTTGAAATCAGGTTTTTTTTAAAGTTATTCAGGTTGATTTGGAAAGATTTCTTTATACGCGATAAAATTCGTGCTGCAGTATTTTGTACCTTTTGGAGTCTCTGAATTTGGTATTGAGGTAAACCCCACAAATAACTTACAGTAATGTAATTTTGATTGGATTAGAGTGACTACTGCGACATTGGTTATCTTTTTGCGTTGAGGACGCAGCTGACCCATAGCGCAAAGATGACAGAAACAAGCCCTGACCACAGAACTGACATAGAGGATCACAATAAGTTTACTGTCAGTGTAGAGGCCAAGATCTCTAAACCTCCGTCGCTCAATTTTTCGTCGACGAAATTTCTTTCCAACAAATTTCCAGTAACCGTCTCCATGATGATAATGATGTATTCGAAATGTAGATCTTAATATCCTGTGCTCGTCCACCCGCTCATCCACCCTTCGAAACCAGACGCCCACCCATGGGAATCCTAATCTCTTACGTCATCACACAGACCAGTGTAACAAACATCAACACAGCAAACACTGAATATATTGATGTGATTTCAATTCTATAATTTTATTATGCCTCGTTAAACCTGGCAGATCAATGTACTTGAACCATACAACTCGTAACTAATCAATGTTATAAGTCAACGATCTATTCAGCCGAATCCTCACACACAGAAACAAGTTACGCCTTGAATATCACACAACGGTCATCCATACCTTCTATCAACAACTACTCAAACGAACCCGTCATTTCCCCTTACACAAATACGTCACAACACTCTCACACAACAGATACAGCTACACATGAACATCTTTTCCCTACCTAACATAACAACAGTGATCTACGCTTAAAATCAACAGTGATTCTCATACCCTTGGCAGATTCTAAATGACTTCTCAGTGATAAGATCCTTGAAGATCAATGTTTACTTTAGAAATGACAGCGTATTTATGAGTCCAATGGTAACATCGCCAGTTTTTGACGCAATATTTTCCTGGAAGCTGAGTGACGAAATCGCATCTTCCTGGAAGCTGAGTGACGAAATCGCATCTTCCTTTTTCCCCGGCTAAAACCGCTTGCTGATTTATTTTTTATTAAACAAAGTGTTCGGCGTTGTGTAAGAACCTCACTACTAAGGAAGGACACAGCTCACGTCTCACTACAAAAGGAAGGACACAGCTCACGTCTCACTACTAAGGAAGGACACAGCTCACGTCTCACTACTAAGGAAGGACACAGCTCACGTCTCACTACTAAGGCAGGACACAGCTCACGTCTCACTACTAAGGCAGGACACAGCTCACGTCTCACTACTAAGGAAGGACACAGCTCACGTCTCACTACTAAGGAAGGACACAGCTCACGTCTCACTACTAAGGAAGGACACAGCTCACGTCTCACTACTAAGGCAGGACACAGCTCACGTCTCACTACTAAGGAAGGACACAGCTCACGCAGCTCTGTCAATGTGTAGGAAAAAAAAAAGGGGGGGGGGCATTTCTTGGAAAAAATATTCTAAGAATGTAAAAACAACCTGAAAAAGACAGACGCCACAAATGACCTGTCTGCCGGAAAACATTTCACGTCTCACTACTAAGGCAGGACACAGCTCACGTCTCACTACTAAGGAAGGACACAGCTCACGCAGCTCTGTCAATGTGTAGGAAAAAAAAAAGGGGGGGGGGGCATTTCTTTGAAAAAATATTCTCAGAATGTCAAAACAACCTGAAAAAGACAGACGCCATAAATGACCTGTCGGCCTGAAAACATTTCTACGCAGCGTTCCAAAAAGCCTTATCAAGAAATTACACACTGCTACCTTAGAGCTTCAACGCGGTGGAGTTTGTTTTGAGTGAAAAGCTCAGCTACTAAACACTGAATAAATACAGTTACAGATAGATCCAAAACAACAATGGAAAAACACAGAATAATTCCACCGATTCTTATTTATTTCAGAAATAATTATATTCATAGATCCAGGAAACTTTCAGATTTAGAAATATCCAGCTATATAGGAATACAATTTGAAGAAAACATTCCAAAAATGAGAAAATGAACGAGAGATTTCTCTGCTGCCTGTTAAGCGATTCGTGAACTCTCATCTCTGTTTTGTACGCAGCAAGACATTAGGTCGGCGGCCCATAAGGTAGAGGAGCCAAGTATCAAGTGAACTGGGTATAATGTCATTAGAAGGAGCTGGCTAGCTTCATTTGATCATCATACATTTTGATTTTGGCCAAAGTCTTTAGTGTATTTTCCAAAATTTTACTATTAATCTTAAATTGCTTCCAATTAAATTTTTGTCGAAATTTCACATTTCCTTCCTTTTGTGCTCTTGTTGTTTTTATTCCGCCATCTTGTTGCAGCCGGAAGTGGGCTGAAAACTAGACTATGTGTTCTGGTTCTGGTAGTGTACGTTGCTTCATCCATATACTGGCATCTGTGCTACGATTGGGGAAGCAATGTTGCTATTCTAAGAGCTCCTAGCAGATGCCAGGGCAGCCTTGAAGCTTTCGACAGATGTTGGGTCCATAGCGGCATTGTCCAGGTGGTTCCAAGCAATTATTGTGCGTGGGAAGAATGATTGCTTATACTGCACTGTTTTACACCGAGGCACAATAAAGCATTTGTTATGGTTTCTGGTGTAATTGTTTATGGGTTTGTCAGTGTTGAAATAAGTGTACAGTGAGCGTTTGGCTCTGATCAATCGACCCGGCTTCTGTGGGGTGAGGTACATGCCTGCTGGGATGACCGGCACCAGCCCCATAACCACTTTATATAAGAATATCAGGCGGAGTCCCTCTCGTCTGTCTTTAAGGGAGGGAATGTCAAATCTTTTTAAAAGGCCAGTGACGAAGCCAGGAGTGGGGGATTTGTAGTCACGTGCGATAAATCGCATTGCGTTACATTGGATTCGCTCCATCTTGTCCACGTCTTGCTTTAGGTGTGGGTCCCAGATGATCGCACCATACTCTAGTAGTGGGCGGACGAGTGCAAAGTAGGCATTTTGTTTGCAGGACGTTGGGCAGTGGCGCAGATTTCTTCGAATGAAGCCTAGTGTGGAATTGGCTTTTTTTGACATTTTGTTTATGTGAGGCGACCATTTCAGGTTATTTGAGAAGAGAATTCCGAGGGATGGATTATTGTATACTGTTGGAAGATTGTCTCGTTTAATGAGTACATATAGGTTGATGGTGTTTTTTTCTTGAGATGCTCATCGTGTAGCATTTTGTTTCATTAAATTTCATGCCCCATTTGTCCGCCCAATTCATACGGCACTTCAAATCTGCCTGGAGGTGGTTGTGGTCATCGTAGCTGCTTATCTCTCTGTAGACAAGACAATCATCTGCAAACAGACTCACTTGAGATTCTACAATAACAGGGTATAAGAATCACTGCTGCTATTATCGACGCTGAAAGATAATACTAGGCTATATCCATATATGCAATATGCAATAAGGGCAACTCCTACAGCAACATAAATAAACACACTTGATGAAATGCCACGTCACCCGCATCGTTTTTTGGCACAAAACATTAACATATTTGTAATTATGCACGTACGACATCTAGTCTGCACAACAACCAATTTTGCTCTTATCTAGTCTATATAACAATCAATTCCATTCGAATCCTAAATTAACGGTAATAGATTTTAGACTAATGAATAACTTGCCCCTAGACATGGTAATATGATTTAATTTAAAATAGACTGAAGAGCAGTCGCAAGGATCTGATCAGCTGAACAAGACCAGGATATTAGTACACCTCCTAAATGATTTCGCTACAATTGGCTCGAAGACGAAGCAGGACGTTTTTTCGCAGGACATTTTGGCGCCATTTAAAAATAAATTTTTATTTAACTTAACGTTTATAAACTTTTAATAAAGAGAATGCAAAATCTATAAATTAAGAAAGGTTTAACGAGTTGCTAGTCCCATGCAATATTTTACCTTTAGCAAATGCAAAATAATCAACTCATAACAACTTAATAATAGTTAATGAATCCTGTCTAATCTTGTACTTGTAATAAGTCTTCCGAAAGTCCGTGTATATTAGTCCATCCAAAAATTATGGGCAAGTCCTCTAAGATGCTCGATGATGTTTCGTTCTCTGTAACTCTCAACAATGATCATGATTCTGGCATCTGCTGCGACAGATTTTCTGCGCTTTACAGGTGGCTGGTTTCCACGAATGAATTGCTCATATTCAAGGTCACGCCCTTTTTGAACACCTCGAATTCCGTCTATAAATTTTCCAAATGTTTGGGTGATCCATCCCAAATTCGACTTGTAATCTTCGATGTGCTGCTTCAACATAGTTGTTGGTACGATCCTCTCCATTCACTGTTCTCTTGTAGACATACCACATTTGAGGAGGAAACAACGCATGACGTGATA